GGGCAGCGACAACCCAGCAGGGCTGCAGATGGGGAGCGTAAAAGGGGCAGTGATGTTACAGCACTGCTGTGGCAAAGGACCCTGCTGCTGACGGGGGTGGAGGGGCAAACTAAGTAGCTGCCCTGGGGCCGCGATTTAAAAGGGCCCAGGACTCCAGCCCCGGGCTCTTTAAGTCGCCGCTGGAACCCCAGGTGGCGCAGGCCAAGCAGTGCAGATGGACGGGCTGGTTGGCTGGGGGACGCTGACCCCAGCCCTGCCCCTTCTGCCTGAGGCCCGGCCTCTTCTGGGGTGGGAGGGGGTTCCCAGAGCTGGCCCCATACCGGTAAGAGCTCAATTTTACTTTCACCCCTGATGTGATCACTCATGGAGTAAGATACTATGCACCGTGAATAAGGGTGGTAAAATGGATGTTAATGAGGTGGCCGCCATTTTGGCCAATACAATGGGCAGGAGACTCATAGTCTCATAGACTCTAAGGTCAGAAGGGACCATTATGATCATCTAGTCTGACCTCCCGCATGATGCAGGCCACAAAAGCTGACCCACCCACTCCTGGAATAATTCTCTCCCTTGACTTAGCTGTTGAAGTCCCCAAATCATGATTTAAAGACTTCAAATCGCTGAGAATCCTCCAGCAAGCGACCCCTGCCCCATGCTGCGGAGGAAGGCGAAAAACCTCCAGGGCCTCTGCCAATCTACCCTGGAGGCAAATTCTTTCCCGACCCCAAATATGGTGATCAGCTGAACCCCGAGCATGCGGGCAAAGCACAAACTGCTGCAGCTTGAGCTAAAGAGCCCAAACTTTGTCTGGGGCTGTATCAGACTCCGATTCTTTGTGGATCAGCACTGCAGGGGGGAGGGGGAGGACCTGTAAAACACACTTACTGGGGGTTTTACTAACACAGCACCTCCCCGTTGCTACTAACTACTTAATATGATGCTCAGCCTTAGAATCAAAGACCAGAGGAAACAACCATGCTGTCACTCATGGCCAACTCCTGAGTCTGTGAGGTGCTGGTCACCCTCAACTTCTACTGACGTATGTCCTAGATAGAAGTACGTATGTTGGTGGGGAAATGAACCTCAGCACTTTAGAGGCAACACTTGGTAGGATCAGGCCTCGCTGTATAGTTTCCAAAACCATCTTGAATCGTAAAGTGTCTTCCCTCGATTTTGTGTGGTGAGAGGGAAAATGTGAGGACAAAAAATTAAAATGCAATTCAGAAATACCCAATACACCGCGGCTAAGAAAAAATCCAGAGTGGAAATGCCAGAATTTGTGTGAACAACACCATGCTCATGGACTTAACATAGTCAAGTTTATCATTATTAAGTTGATGGACAAGGAGATATTCATCCAATGTCTCCAATAGGAGAATCCTCCAACTCCCGTCTCAATTGCTGTATCTTGATGTACAGCAAAGAGGAGCTGTTGTGCACATTTAACGGGGCTACGTGATAATATTCCCCCTGTAAATGAACCCTTACCCACCCGACCGGCTAAGCAGCAAACCTCATTCTGCTCTTGTTTACACTGGAATAAATCTGGAGTAGCTCCACAGATGTCAGTGGAGTTAGTCCAGATTTACCCCAGATGGAGCTCAGAGTAGAACTCAGGAGTTTGTTCTTCAGAACTTTTTTACATTGCAATTCAGGGAGGACAGAATTCCAACCAGATGGCCCTAAACCCATCTAATTTATCACTACGGCTCTAAATGATCTTTTAAAAACAGGCAACATCTGCCATCGAGATGCACTAGATTTGTGAATCAAAGGCTCCTTCTGCATCCTTGTAGTCAGTCCCCTGACATGTAAATGAATGAAATAGCACTGATTGAATTTGCCCTTCAGCCCGAGCCATTGCAATTATCTCAATATAATTATGTAGAACTGGGGGAAGGAGGGGGATGGGAAAAGACTACCTGTCTTAATTCAGGACCTCTTGTCTACCAGTCAATCTACGATACAGTTTTAAACTGGGTTGCCATGAGATTTCTTTGGTTTAAGAGGGTTTCAAGCGCTGACTTCCCCATACCACTAACCATAGTCTGGATTAATTTGAGCTTCCCTGTGAAATGGTGAGCCATAAGTCATACGGGCCCCAATTCAGGAAAGCACTTAAGCACGTCAGTAAGACTTTCCTGACTAAGGATGGATTTAGGCATGTTCTTAAGTGCTTTCCTGAATTAGGATCATGCAGCGTTAAACGGCATCAGTCTGGCTTTTCTAGCTGACTCCTGCTGTTTCCACCTTATGTCAACACACTACACGTCTATGAAGACTGGGTCTGATTTTGATCCTATTTTTTTACATACAATTTATTAAATAAAGCAACGGTGTTTTGTGTGGAAAATACAGCATGTGAAAGCTGGGCCTTGAATGTGCTTTGTCTAGCTCCTCAATAGCAAGAGAGAATGTATTCCTTACTTCAGTATTTCTCAACCTTATCAGATTGGCAACCTTCAATCAAAAATGTTCACAACTCCCTTAGTCTTTTTTTTTTTTACTCTGCTTATATTATTTTTGTATATTCTGAGAGCTTGACAGAGAACATTTGACCTTGAAGGATAAGGGAGTGTGAGGAATGAGATTGTCTTTACTTTGGGCCTTTTCTACGTGGGTGAAATTGACTGTCCTAGCTATTCCAGTATAATTTAGCTATTTTGAAATAACTCCCCTGTGTGGACACTCTGATCTGGAATACAAATGCTTTTATTCCAGAATAATTACTTTGCTTTGTGAGCAGAGTAATTATTCTAGAGGAAGGTATTCCAGAATAGCTCCCTCTAGGGATAACTACTCTGATCAATTTCCCTGGAGTAGACAAGCCTTTGGATTGTTATAGAACTTTCCGTATCTTGTGATCACCCTGATTCTCTTTGTGACCCTCCTGTGGGTTGCAACCCACTGGGTTGAGGAAACACTGCGTTAGTTTATTACAAATGCACTGAATACTATGGGACAATGTGTTGTCTTCAAAGGGCAAGAATAGGTATAGAAAGCTACCAGCAACTACTTGGGGCTTAAATTTCCCCTCCTTGCCTTGCAAGGATAGTAATTACTGTAGAATGGAAAACTCCGATTACATTTACATAAGCAGATGGGTTACAAATACCTGGGATAGCCTCAATGGAGAAAATGACTAGTCTGAATGGGGGTGGGGAATAACAACACATGCTTGTGCATGTTGTTCCTTTTTATAGAGTACTCCTGAGATGCATTTGTTTGAGCAGACATCACTCTGTTCTGCTGTAGCCTTACCCCTTCTTGACAGAGCTATGGCCCGATCCAGCAAACAGGTAACCAGGGGAATCTCCATGTGACTCTCTTGTGAGTAGGGACTGACTTGTGTGAATAAGGTTGCAGGTCAAGTCTTGGTGTGACCTGAGTGTTGCACAATATTTGGGAGCCACTACAATAAAGTTCACCTTTGCCACTCTGACCTACAGTAAAAATATAATTTTTCAGATCAAATGTTTTGGTCAAATATCAAAGCACAATGCTTTGTTTATTCCAGCTCTCTGAGGACCGTGTAGTAAAATTACATTTGCTTGAATCTAAGAATATTGGAATAGTTATTTAAATCCTTTTAAACTACTCGGTTCTTCGCAATCGTTTTCCTACTTTTATTTAATTAAATGTTTTAAGTGTAAATGGTTTCTTTTGTCAAATACCAACTATATATATATATATACACACTCACACACAAACATTTAATATTGCCCTCAGCTTGTGCAGAGCACTACTTTATTTTTCTTTACCTTACCTTCACCGCAGCCCTTCTCTTGCGTTTCTTCAAAAGGATTGTCCAAAACGTGACCACGCTGAGGCTCTTAAAGGCTCTCTGTCTCTTCTGGAAGTGGCTGATGTTTCTCTCGTGCCCTTTTGAAGAAAGCTTTGGCGTGGACACCTCCCCTCCCCAGTAATTCTGTATTTATACCCTCCAGAGTGAATGCAATAAATCAGCATTCCTCTGTGCATGAAAACCATAACGGACTGGGATTAACAATAAAGGAAAACAGCAAAGGGAGCAGTGCTCATGCCACTGAGTGTGTAACTAGCTATTGGTCATCCAGAGC